CCACAAACAGGCCCCTCTTTCCTGTTTTCCTGCCCAGTGGTGGCACCAGGACATTTCTGGGCATGGCTCCTCTGAATCTGGAGTGCACTTCACTTCTCTATTCTTGGCAGTAAACCAGAGACAAGTCCTGGATGATCCTGTGGGCTGTGTCTCCACTCGGCTCCGTCCCTGAGGTCTCTGCAGCCTCTCCCAGGACTTGTTTTTATTTCCCCAGGCCTGGATTGTCTCCTGGCTTTCCAGGTGGTTTCCCTGCCAGGGTCTATCCAGGTCATAGGGAAGGAATAATTTGCAACATGTTTCCAGTCAGTTATTCTGCTTAGCCAGCCCTGAGCCTGCCTTTCAACACATACACACACACACTCATCTGTAAAATAGGCTTAAATAGCCTCTGCTGCCTGTCAGATCAAATCTAAGCCTCATCAGATGTCACCTGGACACATACCCCAGGAGTACGATGTGATGATGTTCAAAAATTGATCAGCTGGGGAAAGAGCTGCTGTCATTGGTCAGGCTAAGGCTTCCTTCCTATCTCTCCTCCACATCTGGTCTCCCTCCACCTTAAGGATTTTATTGGAGGTGAGAAAACTCCAGGACTGCAAATAAAGGGAATGTTCGATTCAAAACATGAGTTTAGAAGTAGAATACATGGACTCTAATGACTAATTATTTCGGCTTCTAAATCAAAACTTGAGAGGACATACATAACCAAGATGATAGATGGAGGAGAGGTGATTGTTCAGAATGACTTGAAACTGTTGAAGGAATGGAATTTTGGTGTCAACACAAAACTCTTCCCATCGCTTTTCATGTCTTCATGTTAGCAGTGTCTCAACATTTACATCCGTAAATATAAAAAATAGGAATGGAATTAATGCTCATTTTCTCATTCTAGAAAAAGGGAATGGCCCTCCACACAGACATGAATTAAATGGGAATAAAAAGCTGCATCCATCTCATGGATATTTGTTTCAGATTTTCCATTTTTCCATTTAATACTTATTCTTCAAATCCATAAGTATATTTATGATTTTTGATTGTGTAGTAACAATAATGATGTCAATTAAGAAAAAAAAATGACACAGAGACTTATAGCCACAAAGGAAATTTTCAATGTAGGTACCTATTTTTGTTGTTAAGAGGCATGTTAGGGTTCTCAATAACAGACATTCTAACATAGAATATGTATTATATGAAAATACCATTCCAGGGGTAGGAGTAGAATGGAAATATTAGTTCTGGGGTGAAAATAAATTAAAGTTCAGTTCAGTCGTGTCCGACTCTTTGTGACCCCATGGACTGCAGCATGCCAGGCTTCCCTGTCTGTCACCAACTCCCAGAGCTTGCTCAAACTCATGTCCATCAAGTTGGAGATGCCATTCAACATCTCATCCTGTGTCATCCCCTTCTCCTCCTGCTTTCAATCTTTCCCAGCATCAGGGGCTTTTCCAGTGAGTCAGTTCTTCGCATAGGTGGCCAAAGTATTGGAGCTTTAGCTTCAGCATCAGTTCTTCCAGTGAATATTCAGGATTATCTCCTTTAGGATTGAATGGTCTGATCTTGAAGTCCAAGGGATTCTCAAGAATCTTCTCCAACACAACAGTTCAAAAGCATCAATTCTCTGGTGCTCAGCTTTCTTTATGGTCCAACTCTCACATGCACACAAGATTACCGGAAAAACCATAGTTTTGACTACTGGAATAAATATAAACAATATTAAAGAAGAGCTTATCCACGTGTATTTAAAATAGATTACGGTTTGCATGGGATCCCTAAGGCATTTCAATTTAACTGGACACCTGTTTGTTGTTGTTTTTTTAATCTCACACGCAGTTATATTTTTAGAAAATCAGCATATACCATCTAATGGAAGTTACATCCTTTGTAACTGAATTTACAACGACAACGTTTAGCTATCAATTTAGCATTAATAGCAGAAGTATGTAGATGCCTTTCAAGGTTATTTTAGGAGGTGCACGTGAGGAAACACTTATGGAAACTGCTGCTGTGGGTGGGGGAAGCGCTGGTGAGAGCTGTGAGATAGAATTCTGCCTCCTTTAGCTACAAGCGGCAGGTCCCAGTCACCTCTTTGTGACTTTGCGCATCAGTACGCGTAGGGCAACAACGATACTGACCCCTCCAGGTTGTTCCCAGAAGGGAAGAGCCGCCCCCGGAAAGCTTCTAGCCGAGAGGAAGGAACCTCGACTCCGCGGAGTGAGCGGGGGGAGGTAGGGGAGAAATAAGCGATCCTGGGAGAAAATGGGGATCAGGTTGCTCAGAGTAGGTGACCATTGACCCTTTTGAAGAAGGGCGAGGAGATGTCCGCCCAGAAAAAGGGCCTGGTGAGGGGAAAGCCGTGTCATGAGGAGGGTACAGTCCTAGTAAAGGCCTCGGGGTGCCGGACCCCACCCCCGGGTCCCTGCCTCTCTTCCTCACCGCCACCCCCCCATCGTCCCCCATGGTCACCCATCACTAGGCAAGCCTGGGGGTCGCCGCCTGCTGGCGGCCCTGAAGGGCACGTTAGTACCGAACTTTGAGTCCTTTCTGTCGGACTCAGGGTCCGCCCCACCGCCTGCAGGAGGTGCCTAGAAGCTTGGGCAGATAGCAAGCGTCCTTGAGGCAGTAAGGGAGTCAGTCCGCGCTCCTCGGGTCCGGAGGGTGTGTGTGTGTGTGTGTGTGTGTGTGTGTGTGTTGGGGGCGGGACTCGGCGGCTGTGTTCACTCACCCATCTCCCGGGAATTCTGACGCCTACTCTTAAAACTATTTTTTTGCCACCTCCTTACACTCATGTTACCAGTTTCCCCCTTAACATTCCCCAGTTCTGGGGGATTTAAAAATTCCCTTCCAACACTTCATAATGAGAAAATTTCAGATAAACAGAAACATTGAAAGAATTTTTATCCAGTGAATATTCATATCCCCATCATCCAGATCTACATTAACAGCTTACGACTCTTGCAGCCTCTCGCATTTCTCCACATCTGTCCTTAGGCTCGTCGGTCCATCAAATGGTCTTATCTTTTGAAACACTTCAAACTTGGAATCTTCAGTAATCACTCCTGCAAAGCCCTTCTGTTAGCCTGTCGTTGGCTGGAGTTCAGTCTTAGAATACATTTTTAAGGGTAAAATTTACACGCAGCGAAATATACAGATCTGAAGTGTGCTTTTCTCTGCATGATTTTGGATACTACATGGAAGAGTTTTTTATTTTAATATTTATTTTAATGTGTATTAGGAGAAAAATAAGCCGCCGTTTTCCATTTATAACTGTGACCTGCAGCGGCCTTTAACAATGAATGTATTTAAATGAGCTGATAATTAACATAAAGGGCCTGGGGTAAAAGAGAGGAGAGGACTTCCAAGATGCCGAGGCAGCGGCTCGAGGTGTCGTTTCCAGTGCTGTGGGCGCTTCTAGTGGTTTCAGCCGCCGAGCTCCGAGGAGCGGTGGAAACTGGGGGCGTCAGAAGGGCTGGGCACCATGCTAGATCGGGGGCTTGTGGAGAGGCCGGGATAGTGTACATGTGTTGTATGTTTTCAAATCATTATGCTTGTGGGCCCCCACTCCAGCTGATTGAGGCGGGGAATATCTCTGTGATCAGAGCACCCAGCACCGGGCCAGGGACACGTAGGTACCCAAGAAGAGTTTCACGAGATCACGACTGTGCAAACGCTTTGTAAACACTCTACAAAAATAAGAGTTTACAAGAGTAGGAAGAATCTCGCGGCCCAGGGTCCCCCCTACTCAGCGCCGGGGGTCCAACAAGCCGCAGTGTTTGTTAATTGATAACCAGAACATCAGGCGGAAGAAGACCGGAGAGGCGTGGGTGCTTCAAATAAGACAGGCGCCGGGGCGGAAACTTCAGTGTCCTGGGTCAGAAACTGCGGAGAAAAATGAAGTCGTGATTTTCTGAGCATGCGCACTGGGCCGCCGCAACAGCCTCATTATCTTACTCCCGGAAGCTGCTAGTAGGTGCCTCGTTAGCGCAGTAGGTAGCGCGTCAGTCTCATAATCTGAAGGTCGTGAGTTCGATCCTCACACGGGGCACGATACTTTTGCTCGCATTTTTCACTTATTCTAGAAAGATGGGTCTTACTTGCTTGAGGACGTAAGCCCCTCGGGAAGATACCCACTCTACCTCTAGCGCTACGAGTCCGGGTACCCAGGAGGTGCGCTCACCCCGCCATCCCGCCCTCCACCAGGGATCCTGCCCTGGCCCTTGAGCCCTGTTGGTGGCGGGGATGTGTACAGCCCAGGATGAGGGACCCCTGGAGTGCTCGCTGTCCCGGAGGGCGCTGAGGACGCCGCTGGGTGCAAAGCCCCCTAATGGAGGCCTCTGGGGGAGTAGCTGGAACCCAAGGTTTCCCGGGGAGGGTCCTGATTACTGACACTTGGCCGCGAGGAAGGGTGGGTCTAGGCGACTGTGGGGAAGTGGGTGGCACTGTGTTGAGAGGCCAGACCGCGCACGGGCGCTGAGCACGGTGTGAGCAGGTCGGGTTGCAGAGCTGGGAAGTGGCCGGCTGTGATGGGTCTGGGGGAGGGCGGTGTTAGGGAGGTTGTTCAGGCAGCAGCCCGGCGTAACCTGACATGGACTGTGCTAACGCTGCGTTTCCAACTGCTGCTGCGTCCTAATGTTCATCCATGAAGTTTCTGATAATTCAGTCATTCTAAACAGGTCAAATAGCAAATTAAATTAAGATCTGATTTAATAGGGCAGAACCCGTGTACCCTATTGCAAGTTAATCACCTCAAGGATGTTGCCTATAAGCTTAAATTATACACAATGGCCCATCTGTGGGAACCCTGCCTCCAAGGTAATGAGCATTAAGCTGAAGTACCTTTATTTAGCTCACAAGAAGTCTCCTGACCAGGCCCACCTGTTCAGGAGTGTAGGCAGAAGAAATTAGCACAGCCTCTTCTGAAGGCTAACCGGAACCGGAAATATTTGGCCTCACGCCCTCCCCTTTTAGTATAAAAGAAGCCTGAATTCTAGCTCAGGTAAGGTGGATCTTTGGAGTCTACCATCTTCTTGGTTTGGTGGCTTTCTGAATAAAGCCGCTATTCCTTGTCCTAGCAACTCCTCTCTCCATTTGTTGGCCTGCCTTGCCTTGCCACTCATGGCGAGCTGGCAGTTGGGGATTTTGGGGGTAAGGCCCTAGCAGCTGGCAAGACCACTTGTCCTGAGGCTCTTCCTGCAAAACTCCCCAAAGCCGCACTGGTTGTTCCAGCGCTGGGTAGTTGGAGCAAGGAATCAATATTTGGGAGCAGACAGGCTCCAAACAGTAAGGTAAGTCTCTCTGAGGGTGTGTACAGTTGGGAGCCTTATTTCTTCTCCTTTTGGGGCTTTTTCTCTGGAATAAGTCAATTTGTCTTGTCTTTGAGTGGGATACCCTGTTGGGGAGAGGAAAGAATTGGACTTCTGCCTAATTTGTGAACCGGTTCATTTGTTTCTTCGGATGCTAGCCTTTATGTATGCAGTTTATGTTTTGCTTGTCTTTCTTCTTCTTTTTTTTTTTTTTAATTTTGCTAAGCAGGGTCTCAGTTGGGGCACTCGGGATCTGTAGTTGCTGACCAGAGATTGAACCCCAGCCCTCTGCATTGGGAGCTCAGAGTCTTAGCTGTTGGATAACCAGGGGAAGTACCTGTCTTGGATTCTTTAATGTGTTTGTTTGGCTGGTCCGGGTCTTAGTTACAGCACGCAGGATCTTTGATCTTCTTGCTGCACGTGGGATCCTTAGTTGTAGCATTCAAACTCTTAGTTGCAACAAGCGGGCTCTAGTTCCCTGACCAGGGATTGAATCCAGGCCCCATGCATTGGGAGCATGGAATGTTTTTTATATTTGGACAGACTTTCCAAAGATCAAAATCTAAATGAAGTTCATTCAGCCACTATCTAACTTTGAGGTTTTCCAAAGTATCCCTGGAACTCCTAAAATTATGTGTCTCCATCTCAGAGAGAGGATTATTAAACTAATTAGGCTTATTTGGTGTCTTAAATCACTTGGGAAGCATTGTCAGATAAGTGGTGGTAAAACTTCTTACTTTGTATTGTATGGGTAAACAATTATTATGTAATAATATACACATCTTAGAAATTATATGAAACTCCTACAATTCTGGTGTGTGCTAGTAAATGATATCAGGCATAATTTTAGTAATTATCTTACACTGTATGTCACAGCAGTAACCATGTTTCTTTTCAATTGCATTGTAATTTGACTGATGCCAAAGCAAAGAGGCATCCCTTAGGTAAGCAATTGCTATTTATGGTTCTACAGTGGCTTTTGAAGGACTCTATAGCTATTTTGTGAAGAAGCAGGGAAGAATGATGAAATCTTTTATGTGCAAGCATTTGTGCTATTACATCAGGGGAAGTAAGAAAAGGAAGGGAATGAAAAAGAGAGTGAGGATACACTGCTTCAGAATTTAACTCCTCCAGGTGAGCTAGCTGTCCCAGCCACTCTGGCCTCTATGCCAATATATCTACCCCTGCTGGTGGCTCAGCGGTAAATAACCCACCTGACAATGCAGGAGCCATGGGTTCAGTCCCTGAGTCAGGAAGATCCCCTGGAGAAGGAAATAGCAACCCACTCCAGTATTCTTGCCTGGAAAATCCCATGGACAGAGGAGCCTGGTGGGCTATAGTCCCTGGGATCGCAAAGAGTCAGATATGACTTAATGACTAAACAACAGCAATCCAACCCTTCCATCACCTTCCATGCCTGTCCAGACTCAATTCCTGACCCTAGGGCTCTGGGGCTCAGGATTTCCCCTTCTTCTAGGACTCAATTAGAAAAGCCTGTGTTAGTAGTGTCTGGGGCACAGGAACTTGGCTTGGTGTCATCATCTAAGACCCAACAGGGCATCCAATTTGGGCCAAGAGCCATTCCCTGGGCAGGGCAATTTTCATTGCCATTATCTCATATAGGGAGCTAAATGCAGATGACTTACCAGCTGCGTTTGTCAGATTTGTTTAGTTGGAAAGATTACAATCCTTCTTTATAGAGAGGATTCTCTATACTTGAAGCTACAGTATGCCTGAAACTAGCATGATATTGTAAATCAACTATTCTTCACTTTGAAAAACAGAAAAACAAGAGATTTTGAGTCTGGGGATGAGTCTGTGTGTGTTAGTCACTCAGTCATATCTGACTTTGTGTGACCCCTTGGACTGTGTAGCCCACCAGGCTCCTCTGTCTATGGAATTCTCCAGGCAAGAATACTGGAGTGGGTTGCCATTCCCTTCTCCAGGGGATCTTCCCAACCCAGGGATTGAACTTGCATTGCAGGCAGACTCTTTATCATCTGAGCCACTCGGGAAGTCCAGCGATGAGTTCAGGTTTGGAAAATGGGCGACAGGCAAGGCTCTCCATTGTGGTGATGTAATCTAGCAGGACTCCATGGGGCCTTCCTGAGACAGACTTTCCATGTCCTCTGCTTGCTTCTTCTTTTTTTTGTTGTCATTTTAAAAGAATCATTTTCTCTGCTTTCTTCTTATTTGTAGAAAAACTTTACCTCCCCCAGTTCAAAGAGAATTTAATTGGAGAAGTGAGAAAACGCAGAATTAAAGGAAAACAGTCAAGCAAGACAAATCATGGGTCCATTAGACAAATGCAACGACCTTTAGCTCCCCATCAGAGGCCATAGATAACAATAAGTCAAAGTTTTTGAGCTGTTCAGCAGATGCTGAAAGCCCCAGCAGGTGGAAGAGTTAACTGTATGCTGCCCACAAGCACATAAAACCCAGATAGGTTGGAACCAGAAGGTTGATGTTACTCCTGATTACCTCACCACCAACCAGTCAGAAGAATGTCCTGATTGGTAACAAGGTTGTGGGGTAAGCTGATCATATATCCCACAACCCTCTTCCTCACCCCATCTTTAAAACCATTCCCTGAAAGCTAGGGGGGGAGTTTAGGCCTTTAGAACATTAGCTGCCTAGACTCCTTGCCTGGTGCCTTGCAATAAACACTCTGCTTTCCTTCACCACAACCTAGTGTGGATAGATTGACTTTACTGCATGCAGGTGAGTGGTGGACCCAATTTTGGTTCAGTAACAATGACTCAAATCTGGTTTTGGGCCACCAGATCTTAAGATTTCCTGTTAGATATATCAAGCAATATTTAGTAGGCTTCTTATCTGTTTCATTCTTGGGGAAAACATAATCTTTGATAGCCAAGAATCACTTAATACTTCTTCTCTGCTGCCCGCAGCTATAAATGGTGATCTTGGTGGCTCAGACAGCAAAGAATCTGTCTGCAGTGTGGGAGACCCGGGTTTGATCCCTGGGTTGGGAAGATCCCCTGGAAAAGGGAATGGCTATCCACTCCAGTATTCTGGCCTGGAGAATTCTATGGACAGAGGAGCCTGGTGGGCTATAGTCCATGGGGTCCCAAAAAGTTAGACACAATTGAGCGATTAGCACTTGGCAGTTAAGCCACTATCACTTGGCCTTGCTTCATGAATCCATACCATCATCCCCACTGAAATTAAGAAGCATATCAATAGGCATCTTCTTTAAAAAAAATAATGTTATTTTTGGCTCACTGGGTCTTCATTGCTGTGCATGGGCATTTTCTAGGTGCAGCTAGTGGGGGCTACTCTTCGTTGCCGTGGGCTCTGGCTTCTTATTGTGGTGGCTTCAGTAGCTGTGGTATGGGGCTTAGTTGCCCTGAGGCGTGTGGGCCCTTCCTGGACCAGGGATCGGTGGATTCTTAACCACGGGACCGCTAGGAAAGTCCAACAGGCATCTCTTGTCACAGAGTTTTCCAAATTTGCAGATACTCACTTCACTCGGTGCCTTAAGAAGGAAGTGTCTTTAGGGCTGAGCTTGAAGCTGGGAAGAGAATGAAGTTCATATGTGATAGATCCATTCCTCTGTTGGTGCCTTTCTATAGCGTCATCTACATCACACTAGGGAAATTCTGGCATCTCCGAGTGGTTAAGGAGGCCAACACTGAAGCCATTATTCTGTCAAGCAACCAGGTAAGCTGTTAGAGATGCTTTTCGTTGCACGGGAGTGCCCGTGATCCATTCATGGTCTGTGCGCTCCAAATACCCTCTTCAGGGCCGGCCCTGCAGCCGTGGATGGGACCCTTTCTGTCTCCTGTGTGCACGGTGGTAGGCTGCCCGTAGAGGGCGCTGGAGGACAGTGCGGAAGGAATGGGGCTTCTCTGTCTCGCTCAAGAGGTGCTGCTTTCTTTATTCTGGTTTTCTGCTTTGTGGTCCGGCGCGGGTGGAGTGTGTGGGGACACTCAGTGCTGCCCTGTCCAGCCGTGTGCCCGGAGCCCACAGTCTCTTAGAGACTTCACAGCCCAGCCTGATGACTGCTCTGCTGTAGTCTTCCTTGGCATGTTCTGTTCTGGTTCCAGAAGCAGCACCCTGGCCTGCCCTTAGCACCTGGCCTCCAGCCTTGGTTTGTGGGTTCCCCAGCCGGTGGTTCCCCATTGTCCCCAGCAGGGGCCCTTGGCCTTCCTTTGTCAATAGAAATTGATGAGGACAGACAAGAACTTCCGGCCAGGCTTTACTGGGGCCCCTGCTGCAGCAGGAGGGGGTAAAAACAGGGTCCCTCGCATGCTCCCTGAGGCGGGTGGTGAGCTTCTTCCTTTCACGGGATGAGGGTAGGGGCAGGTCCAGGGGTCAGGCCACAAGGGTGGCTTAGGTGGTTTGCCTGCCCCTCTGGTGGTGCTGTGCTTAGGGAACATGTGCAGTACCCTGCTTTTTCTCCTGACATCCAGTTTTTGCTCTCAGCTCTCAGAAGTGGCAGTTGGGTTTTTTTAGTCTTTTTGTATCTTGTCCATAATTTGTCCCAGCTGGCACGTGTGCTAAGTCGCTTCAGTCATGTCCAGCTCTTTGCTTTCCTTCCCATACAGTCTGAAAATCCTGAATAAATGTCAAAGAATTCACTGAGTCAACAGTATTAAAACTCTTAGGGATGCACCATTTTCGACATTGCCAGAAGCGTAAAGGGATGTTGTGCTGTCACTGCAGTTGTGTCTGAGTCTGTACGACCCTATGACCACCCCCCCCCCCGCCCCCCCGCCGGCTCCTCTGTCCATGTAATTCTCCAGGCAAGAATACTGGAGTGAGTTGCCATGCCCTCCTCCAGGGGATCTTCCTAACCTAGGGATCGAACCCACATCTCTTTCGTCTCCTGCATTGCCAGGTGGGTTCTTTACCACTAGCGCCACCTGGGGAGCCCCCAAATGTGCTTGCACACAGTTATTTTGAGTCCCTTACAGCTTCTATTTTGTTGATGGAGACATTTGTCCAGGGGCAAGCACCGCAGCACAGGGTCTGGGTCCCAGTCTGTCTTACTGGACCCTCCCCTTCCCAACATGGCCATTGCTGGCCAGGCCACACACCACTGACAGCACTCAGGGTCCTGACTCCCCATGAGCGTTCGGAGCGCCTGCACCCCCGAGACTTACTTTCTGCTGCCTGGGTGGGCACGTGGGCCAGCTCTGGCCTGGGCAGCCCACCAACCCCTCTGCTGTCCAGTGTGTCTGGACCTGAGCCTAGAGAGGGGTCTCTTTCTGCGCTTGTCCTTCTCTGGATACTTTCTCAGCCCTAGGTACCCTTTAGTATTTAAAAAAAATATATTTGGCTGCGCTGGCTCTTATTAATAGTTGCCATACTCAGGATCTTTGTTATCACGTGTGCTTTTAGTTGGGGCATGCAAACTCTTAGTTGTGGCACATGGAATCTAATTCCCCGACCAGGGATCAAACCGGGGCCCCTTGTGTTAGATGCTCAGTCTTAGCCACTGCATTGCCAGGGAAGCCCCTCCTTTAGCATTTATATAGTATCATAGTTTAATAACTCTAGACTTCTGTTCAAATGATCTGGTTTATCTCCTGACTGGACTTAACGCTGATCTGAGATGAATCATTAAGAATGTTAAGTGCACCCACATTATTAAGTTAAGCCTTTGCCAGTCTTCATAGTTATTACTACTGTAATGGTCAAAGTGGAGTCACTGTGGAAAGGCCTTGGCAAATGTTCAAATCTTGCTCAACATCAGAGAATTCATACCAGAGAGAAGCCATGTGAATGCAATAGATGTGAAAAGGTATTTAACCAAGTCAGTAATGTATTTATCACCATTGAATCCATACTGGACTCTCTAAGTGTAGTTGACATGGAGAGGAATTTAGCTGAAGGCCTGCATTTCTCCAACCAGAAAGAAACCCTGTGAATGTGATATGAAAATGTCTTTAGGAACTGCTTTTCTCTAGCTAACTCAGAGGAGTCCTGGAGAAAAGCTTTGTGAATGTAGCCAGTGTGGGAAGAATTTTAGCCAAGCTCAGTCTTCATTCAATTCCCAGAGAATTTATATTATGAAGGAACTAGGATCAGGTTGAGGATAGACTGTCAAGAGGCAGGAAGAGATAATTAAAAATTTACTTCATTAAATGTGTTAACCTTTGAAATGACAACCAAACCCACGTGACTGAAGAGACTCAGTCAAGTATCTGAACTCTGCTAAGCCAGTGATTTTATCAAGATTATTACTAGGAGAATCGTAGGCTTAGAGAAAACTGGAAGGAGGAATGTAATAAAGAACTTTATGTGATTGAATGTATAACTCACTTTCGCTGGATGAATAGAAACTTTCTGAAGAAGTTTAAAATATTATAAAAAAAAATTATAAAAGAGGACTATGTGTAGTTTGCAAAATCAGTGAGTGGAGGTAAATTCTAGTAAAAGAGGACTTGAAGTAGAGGTCAGAAATGCAATAACCAGCTAATTCTAGTTGGCAGAATCACAGTATTTAGAAGTCGAATGCTGTTGGCGAGGTAGAGATTGCTCACCTAAAGTTCCCATCACACCCAAAATATTTTATATCCTATGATTTTGTTGTCACACACACCAGCCTGGACCATGAAGGCATGTTTGCACCTACGTGAAAACAGAAAGATAATGAGGCTGACAAGGTGCTCCTAGGAATCCAGTGCCTTGCATAGTGATGGGATATTATCTGAGGACTTTGGACAAAAGAGAGCATTTGGTTTATCATAAGGTTATACTTTGTGCAAAAAAAAAAACTCTTCTGTACAGTGCACTGTATGTTAAGCACTATACCAGGAACCTGACTGTGTGCTATTTCTATGCTTCTTTTAGAAATGGGCTCAGGGAAGTAATCTGCCAGCCAAGATGATGAAGCCGGGAGCAGCCGTGCTGCGGAGCTGAGTCGGTGCCCTGCGGAGCACAGAGACAGCAGCCGGGGGCAGTGAGTGAGGTGGGGTCACCGGTGAGGGGGGCCCAGCTTCTTGGGATGGAGGGGCCGTGGGGCGGGCCTCTCCTCACTGCTCGTGCTCTGGAGCTGCTGCTGAGTTCAGGTCCTGGGTGCACAGCTGTTGAGATGCTGTCCTGTTCTCTATTTCTCCATTTATCCTTAAAATAAAACCTCATCAACTTAAGCCCCTGAGGTTCATGCTGGTCCCTGCAACCTGAAAGGGCCTCATACAAAGCTTTAAAAGCTTCAAATATTTTTTTTTTTATTGTGAAAAGCATAATAAGCCATTTACAAGTCCCAAAGCACCAGAATTAAGAACACATAATTTTTATACACACATTTTTAGTACAAAAGGTTGATCTTTATAAGCATTTAAAATAAATAATCTGAAAATCAGCAGCACTGATTGCAAAATAAGTATCTTGCTCTCTGACTGTCTCAAGGTGACCAGCCTCCTATGTGGCCAAAAGGTGAGGCGTTTGACACCTGTTCTGAGCCTGGGTGGCGAGTCTCTGGCGGAGGTTCCTCACTCTCTCCATGAGATCCTGTTCCATGGCGTCCCAGTGCATTTTTCTCTGGTTTAATGAAACTTGGAAACAAAATTTAAAATTAACAGTAGTTAGTTTGAGCAATGGTATAGCGTTTAAAGATAAATATGTTGCAAAGACCAATAATGAAATGAATATTCTAAACCAAATTTCTTACTCGGAAAAGCCTAACGTATTACCTGGTCCTATGAAATTCCATTTACAAGTCAAATATTTGGTGGATTGAATGAATGCTATTAGAGAACTTATTTGCTTTTGGTTATATTTTTCTTTTTTAATTTTATTTGGGAATATAGATTAACTTTTACATCAGGAAGAAAGCTTGTCTAAGAGAGAATCTGAGTTTTTTACAATAGTAAGTTTCTTCACCATGGTGTTTATTGTAGTGAGAAAATTCCAGGGTGCCAAAATTAATAGTGAAATGTACACCATGACCACTTTCTAATGATTCAATATATAAATCAAGTACTTTTTACAATGACCAACACAAGGCAAGTCCAGAATCAAGCTTAGAACATTACAATGTGTCTAAGTGAACAGCCATTTCATATTGATTTAGAGGGGTAGTAAATACTAGAATTCAATAAAGAAGCAACTTAAAAACATACTTCTCTGAAACTTAGTTACATACCCGAAGAGCTTCAATTTCTGAAAACTGTTTTCCCCCAAGGAATAAAACATTTATGCTTTTTCATTTTGTTGCCAAGTAAGAAACTTGCCAAATGTCAACTCGATTTTGAAGTTTAGAATATCTATTTAAAAATTCTGATGTGTTGGAGTAGAGAACAGTTGAGAATCTTCTATACTTTCATCTGACTTATGCATGACTTTTGGTTAATTTCATATCCTGACACAGTGTTCAGAGATGCACATAAGAGTATGTATGTTAGTGAGTGTATTTTATACCATACTGGAACTCATGACTTGTTGTTAGGTGTATTTTTTATAAAGCTGGTCTTTTGGGGACATCCTATAAAAATCTGTTCTCCTAAAAGAACTCAAAGGACCTTGTGAAGTTCTGCTTCATTTATATGACAGTTTTATTGAAGAAGCTGGTTGAAGAGTCTGAGTTTCCTGTCCTCTCCCCTCCTTTTAAAAACAAATCAAGTCCTTTACTGGGGAAACTGTTAGCTCCTTTATGGGCTAACGCTGTGACTGCATTTCTGTAAGATGTTTCCATTCCATCCCATCCCTTCCAGAAATAAACAAAAAGCTCCAGTGAATCAAGTCAAGGGATCAAAAGGCAACTCATCAGCACAGAGCCCTTTGCCCTGAGCGGTTCTGAGCGAGCTGGCCCCGCAGTGCATCTTGGAGCGCAGAGCAGACTCATGTTTCCAATGGTTGCTGGAGGCAGCTCCGCCCAGAAGAGTCGAGAAAACTCAAACATGGAACAGCTTTGAAAACTAAGCCTGAGATTTTCTTTTCACAAGGATGTAAAAAAATAGTTATGAATACCATTAATTTAGTCAGTGACAGACTTCTATCAGCGCCTCCAGCTATGTTTTGGGCAGCAGTGCTGGTGCTGAAGAAACAGAGTTGCATTAATGATATCTGGCAAACTTTCCTTACTTGGGGTTTGGTCTGACCCAGTTTTTCCCCAGCTGGAAACTTGAGAATCTTGCTGCTTCCACTTTAGGATTTCCATGGTCAGTACCCTGGGAAACTGGTCTCAATGTGCTGTAAAGATAATTTAAGCCACAATCTTGCCTTGTTATTGTTTAGTCGCTGAGTCGTGTCTGACTCTTTGCGACCCCAATGGACTGTAACCTGCCAGGCTCCTCTGTCCATGGGATTCTCCAGGCAGGAATACTGGAGTGGGTTCCTATTTCCTTCTCCAGGGGATCTACCTGACCCAGGGATTGAACCCATGTCTCTTGGGTTGGCAGGAGGATTCTTTCCCACTGAGCCACCTGGGACACCCCCACTGTTGCTTAAACATTGCTAAATCTAACATGATAGGAGACATCTTTCTTGTTCATTGACTTACTCTGTGTCAAGGACTCCATTTCAGAAATGTCATTTAATTGTGAGGTTCTAGGCAGACAGCCTGAGGCGACCTGTCCATCTCGGCACTTTGGTACTACTGTTATAAAAGTGGGAAAAAAATTAAAGAGGAGTGTATACAAAGCCTTGATTAATTCCAAATGGTCCCTAGTAAATTAAAATTGCCAAGGATAAAAAGTCCCTTACTTTTCTGCTTTGGGAAGAATGCTGTCACCATTAAAAAGGCAAGCAAAGTGCAGTTACTGAGAGTTAAAAGCTGAGCTGAAAGTAAAGTACTTAAAAAAAAAAACCACCTTTAGCGAAAACAAAAAACCAACAGACAACTGAAAAATACAGGTGCTAGGTCAGAGATCCCAAACAATTGCTGGGAGAGACTATGAAACGTGGTTAGCAAGCCTTTCTTGAGAACAACTGGGAGCTGATCACTATCAGCTTTACCCAAGGGGACCTGATCACAGGCCACAGCAGACCAGACGCAGCGACGGGCAAGTTTCGCCCAGGCTTCCTAGGACTGGGAAGCACGGCAGCATCCCACACCTAACCAGCGCCTCCTGTTTTTTTATCCTCATCCTTCAGCTTTGCTTTTGCTGTCTCCTAACTCCTTTACATCCAATAAGATATCAGAGTCTTTATTTTTTTCATCCTAATGTTGCTTAGGACACCCCTTCCTTTCTATTCCCGTCACTAGGGTCCAAGCCTCCACGAGTCGGACCCAGACTGCTCGGGTCACACAGACTCAGCAAGATGCTGCTGCCTTTACCTGGGTTCAAGAACTTCAGCTAATGGTTTCAAATCATAGTTTTAGCTCAGTGAGTCTTTACGATAATGTGTGTGCATGCTAAGTCGTGTCAACTCTTTTTGTAACCCCAACTGGAGCAGGTTGTCATTTCCTTCTCTAGGGGATCTTCCCGACCCAGGGATCAAACCCCTGTCTCCTGCATTGCAGGCGAATTCTTCACCACTGAGCCACCTGGGACATGTGGGAGCCCAAGACAATGGATTAAATGACTGATTTGAACTGGTGTCAGGGAATAGAATATGGGTTATCTTCAAGTAATTGAAGGGCTATCATGTAGCAGAAGTAGTAAGTGCATTCTCCAGCAAAGTTTAACTGTAGTTGATTTACAGTGTATTAGTCTCAAGTGTACAGCAAAGTGATTCAGTTGTGTATTCTTTTTCAGTCTTCTATATTCTGGGTTATTACAAGATACTGAATATAGTCCCCTGTGTCATACAGTAGGTCCTTATCTCATATACAGTAGTGTGTGTATCTGTTAATCCCACACTGATTTATCCTTCTCCTACTTCCCCCTTTGGGAACTGTAAGTTTGTTTTCTGTCTGAGTCTGTTTGTAAATAAGTTCACTTGTATCATTTTTTTAGATTCCACATGTGACTGATATGATATTTGACTTTCTCTGGCGTACTTCACATGGTATGATAATCTCTGTGTCCATCCATATTGCAGCAAATGGTGTCATCCTTTTTCAAGGCTGAGTAGTATTCCATTGTATACATGTACCACATCTTCTTTACCCATTATCTGTTAACGGACATTTAAGTTTGCTTCTGTGTCTTGGCTATCGTGAATAGTGCTGCAATGAACAATGGGGTGCATGTGTCTTTGAATTTGAATTTCTGTCTTTTCTGGATATATGCCCAGGACTGGAACTGCTAGACCATATGGTAATTCTATTTTTAGTTTTTTAAAGGTACCTCTACACTGTTCTCCATAGTGGTTGCACCAATTTACCTTTCCATCAGTTGTGTAAGAAGGTTCCCTTTTCTCCACACCCTCTCCAGTATTTTTTAAGAGACTTTTTGGATGGCCATTCTGACCAGAGAATGGGCTTCCCTTGTGGCTCAGCTGGTAACGAATCCGCCTGCAATGCAGGAGACTTGGGTTTGATCCCTGCGTTGCGAAGATCCCCTGGAGAAGGGAAAGGCTACCCACTCCAGTATTCTGGCCTGGAGAATTCCATCGCCTCTACAGTCCGTGGGGTCAAAAAGAGTCAGACACGACGGAGCGACTTTCACTTCAATGACCAGAGAACAGTTTTTAATCAGAAGATTTACTAAAAGAAGAGCAGATTCAACTATATATATATAAGGAAGGAACAACTTTTAAATAAGATAATGGTAGAAAATGGAATGAGGTAACGAGCTCACAGCTGTGTTAGTGTTCTGGCACAGTCTGGGCAACTACTACTGCAGAGATGCCTCACGTATCAGATCCTGCCAAGTCTCAGTCGCACAGTTCCCTGTCTCTCATTTGTCCTCCCCAGTCCATCCTGCCCACGGCTGCTTAATTCATCCTTCCAGAGGGCTGGGTTATAAACGCGGAGGGGCCAATGGTTCCCCCCTTTCCTTATAGCCACGTTTCAAACACTGCTGAGCACATTCATCTGTAAAACTTTAAAACAAAAATCTAGCTTTCCAGTTTCTACCTTAGATCTATCAAATTAAATCACCATTGGTGAGGCCCTGAATATGTATTTTTTTTTAATATGTATTTAAAAAAATAATTTTGTTTTGGCTGGCTGGGTCTTAGCTGCTGCGTGGGCCCTTCTCTAGTTGCGGTGCCTGGCGCACGGCCTCTCTCATTGCGGAGCGCGGGCTCCAGGGCTCTATAGAGCACAGCCTCAGTAGTGGTGGCACATGGGCTGAGCTGCTCCGCGGCACGTGGGATTTTCCTGGACCAGGGATCAAACCTGCATCTCCTGTGTTGGCAGGCGGATTCTTTACCACTGAGCCACCAGGGAAGTCCCTGAATATGTATTTTTTAAAAAGACAATTTGAAAATAAATAAATAAAAAAACAATTTGTAATGCACCTTAAAAATTGATGGTCACTTGCTAATTATAACAGAAAGGTAAAAGGTGAAAGTTCTTTTTTCTATACTTCTTGTACTGTATCTTGCTTATTTCCTTCACTTAATTAAGGTATTTATTTTAAAGCCCCAAAGGTGATTCTTATTATTTTAAATGATCTTTTTCTGAAGTGGTACTGCATGTACCACACAAAATTCAAAAGGAGCAAAAAGGAACAAACTAAATTTCTTTCCTTTCCCTAACTGCACTCCTTGCCTGGGAGGGAAGCCCTGTTCTCGGTATTCCACAGGTCACTCTGTCTGCCAGGCTGGTAAACAGGATGAAGCCCAACTGCTCAGCCTGGCACTGAAGGTCCCTGTCACTCTCTTGAACCATCCTTGTGCTGAAGCCCTCTGTTCCAGTTAGCCAAACCTGAATCACCCTGGCAGGCAAGTTTCTGCCACCGATTAGTAACTTTTAACAAGTTCTCTCAGACAAGGTGGTACTAGTGGTAAAGAATCTGTCTACCAATGTAGGAGACACAGGACATGCGGGTTCAATCCCTGGATCAGGAAGATCCCCTGGAGGAGGGCGCAGCGACCCTCTCCAGTATTCTTGCCTGGAGAATCCCATGGACAGAGGAGCCTGGTGGGCTACCATCCATGGGGTCACAAAGAGTCGGACATGACTGAAGCAACTTTTACACAAGGATAGTTCATGGAGGCTTTAATTGGTGAATCCACAAAAATGGTAAGGGAAAATGGTGTGTGTGTGTATGTGTGTGTTCCTGAGAGAGATTCTTGGGGAGGCCTACAAACCATGAGGAGTTAGAAAATGGCATAATACAATGTTAGACCTGTAACAAAATTACAGATCACCTAGTCTATAATCTTCTCATTTTACAAATGAGGAAACACCAGGAAGCACTTCCTACTAAACACAGATTAAACAGGAGTAAACAAACTAACCAGAAGGACCCAGCTTAGTGACCCTGGCTAAGTTTATTTAAGCCTTGTCTTCCTTTACCGTGAAGCTGGGACTAGGTGTTCATGTCACCTCACCATGAGATCCTCCCTCCCTGAAAGGTCCTCCCACTGCTCCAGGCTCCTCCCTTTCTTCAAGGCCCAGTCATTTTAAAAACCTGGTCCAATGGCTCTGCCTGGCCACCAGCATTTACTAATGTCATTAAAACAATACATTTTGTTAAAATAATTCACTTACCACAAAATTCACCCCTTTAAAGGGTACAATGTGGTGTTTTTAGTACACTGAGGGTTGTGTAATCATCACCACTAATTCTAGAACATTTTCACCATCCCCAAAATAAACCCCGTACGCACTGGTAGCCCACTCCCCTACCCCTCCCACCTGCAAACCACTAACCCCCTTCTGCCTCTACAGATTTGCCTATTCTGGACATTTCATGAAGAGAATCATATACCATGTGGCCTTCTGGTCTAGCTTCTTTAACTTAGTATAAGATTCTCAAGGTCCATCCATTTTGTAGCATGAATCAGTTAATTCCTTTTTATCGCAAAATAAAATTACATTGTATGGGTATATCAATTTATTTTATCCATTCCTCATTTGATGGGTATTTGGATTGTTTCTCCTTTTTTTGGCTATTATGAATATTGATGCTGTGGGCAATTCAGTATACAAGCTTTTGCAGGGATATATTTTCAGTTCTCTGGGTATGTATCTAGGAGTAGAACTGCTGGATCATATACAGTCTCTCTGTGTTTAACCTTTTGAGGAACTGCCAGACTGTTTCCCCAAGTGGCTGTGCACGTCACATTCCCACCAGCACTGCTCTGGTTTGGCTGGACCTTGCCCACAGCTGTTAATGGATTCAGTTCAGTTCAGTCGCTCAGTCATGTCCGACTCTTTGCAACCCCATGAATCGCAGCATGCCAGGCCTCCCTGTCCATCACCAACTCCCGGAGTTTACCAAAACTCATGTCCATCG